TTGTTTCTGAGGTGAAGAAAAAAAGAGGAGAGGCCAAGTATACAGTTCTTTACAAACATATCTTTAGTCTCATGTTGTGGAATTTCCCTCATTCTGTCCAAGTGTGGAAATCCAAATATTATTTCAGAAGGCAGACAATGTAAATTTCATGGAACATAACATTCCCACTGCCTCTATGATTGAAGCACTTTTGCAGTAAGATGAGTAAATTTCACGTATTTGTCACAATTCACTGCATCCAGAAATTTCCAAAAACAAATCACATCATACCTTAGCCACCCCATGACTCCCCTGGTGTTCAAAATCAACATTTGCCATTTATCAGGTACTACCCATTTATCTCCCCACTTTCTACTTGTCACAATTCCTCAAACTCCTCCTCTTACCTTTGCGCCAAAGTTCTTACTATTATAATTACTTTAGTCATATAATCAAACTATATTGTAAAACTCAAGTCATATACCCTAACTTAGATTTACATCAGAATGATTCCTTTCTGGCAGTGTGTATCTTTTGTTATTCTTTATTGGCCTATTAACAGCACAAAAGGTGTGTGGATTGCTCTGGTAGTAGATAGAGTATAGTTACGTGCCAATTCCTGAAGGAAACGGATGGCATTTGTAGAAGAAGGAAAAGGACCCACGAAAGATTCCAATCCCAATGCAGGAAGGATACAACAGACCACAGGCACATGCTTTCGCAGAGGCACATGTGCCACAAATTCCCAACAACCAAATGCTCAAAAGGAAAACACCTTTACAGCAGCACAACACATATACATATTACAATTAAACAAATGTCTATTAAATGACAAGTTTCTACTTCATGTGGTGATACTCAATTACTTTTTTAAAAATTACTGTACCCTTCATTTTTCTCCCTTTTTCTCAAACGATAGAATTCTTTATATCATGATGAATGAAGGGTGCATATTTAGCAGGGATAGTTTGAAGGACCATGATATTTGCAGGCTTATTATGAGGGGTGGCAGGCACAGAGGATGCACTGACTGCCATCCCAGAGGACTTTCTATATATTGCAATTTCTAATTCATCTCTGTAATAATTCCAAAGGACAACAACTTGTGTTGCAAACAAACAAACAAACAAAATATCATAGGGTAGAGCACCTTGACTCATAAGCATTTAAAAATGCACTGGGGTAAAAGAGGGAGGGAAGAACAGTTTCAAAAAATAAAACTAGCAATCAAAAAAGAGGTACTTTGAGTCAACACTCCAAAATATCAGATTCCATTCAGATGGAAGCAAATTCTCATTAAGTATGTTAAAACATTTACAAATGTAAGCAAAATATCTCAAAATCATTTCTTTGTATAGATTTAATTAAGCATTTTAAACCTCAAAAATTTCCAGAAGAAAAGTCAAAATTGTATTCAGAGCAGAAAAGGAAATGTAACTGCATAGCTTTTATATGCAGATGAAAAAGATCACAACAGTGAAAGGTAAAGGTGCAGGAGCAGGTCACCCATTTACTCCAAATTTCTCAGAAGAGAGACAGAGAGAAAAAAAGTGGTTAAAGTGAGCAGAAAAACCGCAGCCCCCCTTTAATGACCCAGAGGAAGGAGGGAAAGAAGGGGAGGGGAATACACAGAGGCATTCACAGGTATCACTGGAGGCATCTCACACACAAACTCATGGTAAAAATGAGCAGACAGCCACACTCCCCTCCCTTGCCTGCTTCCCTCCAAAGAATGACCCAGAAGGAAGAGGGGGGGGGGATAC